GGTGGAGGTGAGACGGGGTGGTGGAGGGGAGATTGGAGCCATAAGCCTGGGGCACTGGCATAGCTCTGGGTGGCTGAATCGCCTGTGACTCGTGGTGAGACAGTTGCCTTAGAAATGTCACGCTCGATTACAGCCACCCTGTGCCAGCTTCCCATTGCCGACAGACTATTAATAACCAGGGCTGCCTGGGTGGGTGGGGAGGTGGCCTGTCCATGGAGGATTCCCTGTGGGCACTGAGGGCCCTGAGCCCTCCAGCAGAAGTCACTGGGAGTGTACAAGGAACCCAGCCCTGGTTCCCTGTTCCCCACTCTGTATTTTGTGGTGCCTTTCTCTACAAACATTTTTGTCTCAAAGACTGACCTCAAATCCTGGGCCCCCTAAAAGCTATTCCGGGACCTGGGCTCTGGAGGCAGTTTAGGTGGGTGCAGGAGCCGGGCTAAGGAGTGCTGTCGGCAGCCCTGCCGGCCCAGGCCAGCACCAGAGAGCTGTTCTGGCTTCAGCTGGTTTGGGTGTTGTCTTGGTCAGGTGTACACCTTTCTCAAGACACAGGACTGCCTCCCATAAATGCTTCCCTGAGGCACAGAAAGGACAGTGCTCAGCCTGGAAGCCCTGAGTGGCCTTGGAGTCCTTGTGCCCATTAGGTGCACAGTCAGGGGTTTCTTAAAAAAGATTGGCACACAGGGCTAGTAGGTGGCATGGTGGTTAATGGCGTTGGATTCCCACACGGCCAACTGCAGTTCGAGTCCTGGACCTGGCGTCTTGCTTACTCACTTTCTCTTTCTCTCTCTCTCTGTTCCTCTCTGGTCGAATTAAAATAAGAAAGCTAAATAAAAAAATTCTTAAGAAAAAAAATAAAGACTGGCACAATCCTGGCCCGAATGGAAAATCAAAGTGCCCCTCACGACTTGAGAGGTCTCAAAGACCCTCATCAAGAGGTAGAGGGTTCCTCCCCTAAGCTGAAGTCTATGTGCCCCAGTGGGAGTGCTGATGGTGGTGGTGGGGAGTGGAGAGCTCGGGAGATAGGGAAGAGGGCCAGGGTGCTGGGCTGCAAGTCTGGCTCAGCTGTATGGTGATTAGAGCAAACACAGAGCGCCTGTGGTCCATTCATTTTGTTCCCTCGGTAGACCCAGGAGCCCTAAGAACAACTTTGAATCCTTGACTGGCCCGGCCTTGCCTTTGGCTGCCCCAGCCCCTGACTGAACGCGTCCCAGTTCTCAAGAAGCCTCTGGTCCTCAGAGCCCCCCACGTCCTCTCTACACCCCGTCCCGACTGCTCAAGTTAGATGTGGCTTCCTCCAGGAAAGTCTCCCTGACCCCTCCACCCTCAGCTCCACATTCTCATTGTCCATTCCAGTGTCAGCTCTCTCTGGCCAGCAAGCCCCAGAGTTCCGGGCCTGGGTCTTCCCAGGCTGGCTGGCCTAGACGCAGCGTCGGAAGTGTGGACCTGCCCAGGACGGGAACGAATGGCCACGGGCTGTAGGTGGCTTCAGTCCTGCTGCGGGGGACTGGGCTGCTGACCGGGGGTGTGGACCACGACCGACAGACGGACGTGGCTATGGGCTGCGCCTCGGATCAGAGGGGCGGGCCGAGAGGCGGTGCGGAGGCGACGGGTGGAGGCATGCGCCCTGCTCCGCCCCCCGCCCCCGGCCGCAGGAGTGCAGCCAGCCGAGCGGCGGGGGCCCGGGTCGGCGGGCGGGGGGG